CTATTGTAGTAGAGTAAATCAAGTCCAATAAGGATCTTTGCGATTTTAGGAGGTCTCTTCAGACAGCGAAACGAGGGAGCCATTACAAGGTCCCCTTCAAATACTGGAGGTCAGGCCTCTATCCCCGCCTTTGCAAGTTTAGAATTGCCACAGCCCTTCTATACTTAGAGAAGGGAGGAGATGTCAGGGGCAGCCCTGCTTACCCACTGAAGGCCTAAAATCAGCCAGAGGCCTAAAATCAGCAATAGGCCTGTCATACATGTATGCTAACACCAAGTCTTGGGTCTCAGTGGAAAAATGTTGAAACAGATGGCTATAAGCTAATGTAAACAGGCAGCTTTTGTGGAAATTTACAAGCCTGAGTAGTCATAGACCTTGTAAATAGGTAGCCTGGACAGATAATACCAACTTAGATAAGGACAAGCAAGTCATAGGCAGAATCATAGTGACTTGTCCCCTGAACCTTCACCCAGCAGATACCCGGTTCTGAAAGATATCTGTATTCCCCCTGAACACCCACACTCCGGTGTCATTCCCTTACCCACGTCCTGCCTTTCTGTGTTTATAACCCCTGTGTGAATGAATTACGATTTGAGAAAAAATAAATTATAAAAAAAAAACCCTGGAGACAGAAAATCAATCAAACAAACAAACAAACAAACAAACAAAAGAACTATTTCTTCAAATGTAAAAAAAAAAAGAAAAGAAAAGAAAAAGAAAACACACCGGAACATCCTTCTTTACTGTTGAGAAATCTCCATAGATATATGAGTAGATACAGAAAATGTCACGTGTGTGTGTGTGTGTGTGTGTGTGTCTGTGTGTGTGTGTGTAAATGGAATATCATTCAGCCATGGCAGGTGACTTTCTATTTGCTGCAATATGAATGAGAGGCTTTGTTAAGGAAAATAAGCTCATTATAGGGAGACAAATGCTTCTGGATCTTTCTTATACAGGGAGCCCAAAAAGTCAAACACAGGGGCAGAGAATGACTCCAGGTGCTGGGGAGAGAGAAACAGGGAGATATTGGTCAAATGGTGCAAAGTTTAAGTTGGATGATAAATAAGCTCTGGAGATCTAACATGCAACATATAGTAATAATAATAATAATAATAATAATAGCACCACCAACAACAACATAGTGTATACTTGAAGATGATGAGAGACATTTTTGTATCCTCAGCACACACACAGATGTACATGGACACACACACACACATATATGCATGTACACAGATATAGACATGCACAGGCGTACGAATACACGTACATACATCTGCACACACAGACACAGTAGTAACTCTATGAAGCAATAGATGAGTTCACTAACCTGCTGTGGTAACCATTTCACAACGCATATGTATATAAAACTATTATTGTTAAATACATACATATATGTGTTTTGTTTGTTAACTATACTTCAACGAAGCTGGAGAATTTTAAAAAGAATTCAATGTAATAGCACACCCAATGACTTCCATCTTCTGGCTCTGCTTTCTTCTTTGGGAGCTTCTGGTGCTGATGTGTATTTGTGTTTTTGTATTGCTCATTTTGTGCTGCCCCCATAGAATGTAATCACCTCAGGGTAGCCCTCAGTGTTGTCACCTCTCATGCCCAGGGCCTGCAGTGCAGGGGTGCTCAATGCATGCTGGGGTGCTCAATGCATGCAGTGTTGCTGGGGAGTCTGAGGGTCCATGTTTGGATGGTAACACAAGAAAGTTTGACTTGTGCTTCTGCTGGCAAAGGTGCTGCCTGACCTGCAAGTGACTCTCAGACAATCAATAAACAATCAATAAGCAACAAGGGGTAATCAGAACTGAGGAGATGGGACTGTTACTTGTACCCTAGGTAGGAGAGAGCAGCAGGTCTTGTTGTCTAGACCAGGGCCATTCAGAGAGGCCCTTTGGTGGCAACACCTGTAGAGACAGGTGTGGTCTTTTGAGAGGCTTGGCCTTTTCTTGGTACTTCTGATCTTATTAGAAAACAGACACCAGTGTCAATGCTGACAGCAGAGTTTCAATATGCCAGGAAAACACTGGGCCAGGGGAGAAAGGGCAGCTTGGGACAAAGCTTTGGGGGCAGAGCTGGGAAGCTGTTCTCATAGCTGTGGGGGTTCCTGCAAAGAAAAATGATTCTCAGGAGGCAAGAAGGGAATCCAGTTCAACACAACCTAGTCAGCTGATATAGATTCAAACTTCTAGATCTGATTCTGGTCAGTCTATATTTTTAGGCATCTAAGAACAGTAATATTTTGGGAAAAGATTTTCTAGTAACATCTCAACGCCATGTGAGCAGTAAAACGTAAGGCAACTTAAGGGCCTAGGGGAAGATCAGATATGGTCTCGGTCATACAGACATACATGTGACATCTCCCCAAGGGAGTCAGTGAGAAACAATGCTCAAGCTACAGGTCTAGAGAGGAAGGGTATGGGATAAATGTTATACTCTGGGGGGCTCTGGTGTGGCCTGGCCCTACAGATAGCACAAACCGCCAGGCTGTTAATGGATGCAGGCACTGCATCCACTCCCAGCCCTCTGAGTGGAAAACAGGTATACGCATCCCTTTCATTGAAGAGATAAGCCTGCATGCATAACATCCCTGGTTTCCCTAGGACACAAGGACCTCGTGGCCCTATACATGCTGGACAGGAAGAATAGATCGTTGTATAGATCCAAAGTTCTAGTAGTCTGGAGTAAGAAGCCATAGTTCTAAACTTTCCTCCCTGCTCCTCAGTCCCCTCATCTGTAAAGTAGAGGAAAAAAAGTGACCTACCTCATGGGACCACGGTGAGGATGGGAGGAGGCAGCTTCAGTTACTTGTTGAGGACGATACCTGTCACATAAGTGACCAACGCTAAGACATCACTCAAAGGGTGATGCAGACGACCAGTGCTTTAAAGTCACGGAAACCCTGGTGTGAGAAACTAAAGAGCCAGTCAGGCTCCAGAGCCAGGGCTGTCCATCAAGCGGTCCTGTCACGGCCTCTATGTGATGGATTGAGATCAAGACCCAGGGACCAGAATGGAGGCAGCTGGATGTGAATCTTGACTCCATCATTGACTAACAGTGCATATACACGTGTGTATGTGTGCATATGCTTGTTTCTGTGCATGTGTGTGTTTGTGCACGCATGTGTCCGTGCACCTTGCAATTGTGTGTGCATATTGTATGTAACCTACGGAATTCTGAAATTGAATTATCTTTGATATTAGCCAGAGAAAAAAGGGGTGGTTTCGGGGATAAGTTCCTCAGCCAAAGTAGAGACACATTTTCATCTGCTGTTCAAAACCAGAGTGCTTTGTAGTCACAAAGCCTTCGAGCACTCTGGTGCCTTTGTCATACAGCGAAGAGCTCACCATGTACAGAATGTTTAGAGCTGTACCTAGGGCTATTCTGCATTGTTGATATGGAAAGTCTAGAGCTCAGGCAGCTTGGATCCACAAAACACAGGCTCTGACTTCATTTTATGAGCACAGTTGGTGAAGTTTTAGGGAAATCCTTGCTGAGGCGCCTGCTTAATCTCCCGGGGGCATTTCCTCAAATTGGTCACTAGATGGCAGGAGTGTTCTTTCTCATCCCACTTGAGCCGGTAGGCGGCAGAACCTTACCTTGGGCTGTACCTACTGCTTCCTTCTTCTCTTCCTCACAGCGACCTCTGATTAAAAAGGACACACTCCGTACCAAATGCTAACCCCAGCACCTAGCACATGGTAATGCTTCAGAAAACATCAGCTGCCCTTCCTATTGTTACCGTTTCCGTTTTCACAGAGAAACAGGGTGGGAACAGAGTCGCCAATCCTCTGAAGCCAGGCTTGCAAATTCAACATTGGGCCCTCCTGCCCCCTTTCAAGGTTAATACCCTTGGCTCACCACATGAACCCTGCCATTGGTCCTGTCTTAGTCCCAATGTGATCTTAAGCTAATTATTTTCATTCTCGGATTTTTAAATCCTCGCTTTTTCATCTGTATAATAAAGGCTGTAATATCTTCCTTATCTGAGGAAGGACTTCATAAACAGAAACTAGGTCGGAGTAGAGGCTGTGAATGGAGGTCGCTATTGTTAAAACCTTTTATGTTAACATAACCAGAGACCTTCCTTTATGTGGTCTTCCCTTCACCCTCTCCACAGCCACTCCACACTCATGGTTCCTGCCCTCAGGGGACCTAGCAGTTACACTTTCCTGATCTCTGTTCATACACAGGGCACTTGGACCTGGTACATCTTGTTATAAGGCTCAAGGATTTGGATGGTGTCATCTTTTTGCTCTGGTCTCTCTAGGAAAGATACCATTATTACAGACACAAACTCACATACCTTGTCCTTCTCCATGGTGTTACTTTGGAAAGCAAGCTCCAAGCTACATGATTCTATTGCTTTCACAGGGGCAGTCATTTGCTTTGAGGTCAAAAGGTTTTGTAGGGGTGTCCAAAGTAGTGAGAAAGGAGTCACAAGGTCAAAAGTTGGTGTCTGGTGGGGCTCTTCTTTCTCTTTTTAACTTCTGTCTAATTTATACTTGGGGCTATACATAATTTTTTGCTGATAAAGAAATCTTTGTTGACAGCTACTATAAAGGGTGGGCAGGGGATTAAATTTGAGATGATTCGTAAAAACTTTCAGGCATGAGATGGAGCCGGGTGTGGTCTGCTTCCAAAGGTCTAATATTCCACAGCATGGAACTTGACTTTGTCTTGTGTTCTGTGGGCAGGGGAGAGTCCTTTAGTGGGCTCCAGTAAAGGAATGGGTAGAAGACCTCTCACTCCTTAATCTCTGAGACAGAGAGTCCCAAAGAACAACCTAGGGGCCGAGGCTCAGTCTAAGTCAGGTGGCCTCTTTGGGATGTATTTTAAAATCAGTTTCCTAAGAAAATGGAATTTAAATTTAAGAGTTATGCAGAATCTTGTTTACTGTCACTATCAACATGACTAATTGGGGCTCAGAGAGGCCATTAGCCATGTGTTCTACAATCTGCACTCAGGACTTGGTCTTTTCTGTGTTACAGTGCCCTGGTTCCCAAGGACCATTCAGGAGCTGGACAGATTCGCCAATCAGATTCTCAGCTACGGAGCTGAACTGGATGCAGACCACCCAGTGAGTCCAGGACTCTGAGGACTAGTCTTCCCACCTTCTCCCAACCTTCCCTCCATCTTCTTTCCTTCTCCTCTCCTACCTCTTCAGCTTGGAGCGATGTGTTTGTTTATTTGGTTGCAAGAATTTTACTGAGCTCCCACAGGTGCCAGGACTGGGAAAGCACAGATTAACGAGACCATGAGACCTCACTGTCGTCATTGCTTCAGTCATTACTGTTAGAGTGACTGTGAACCACTGGCCAGAAAATGCTATCTCTATACAGTAGTGTGTATTTGTTTTTCAGCCTTTGTACATTTTACGAACATATAAATCAGACACAGTGAGGGGTCAGGGAGAGAGGTGACATTGGACCTTCAGAGAGCTGAGAGGTTCTAGTCAGATGAGGGGTGTGGGACATTTGCTGAGAGACATCTGCTTTGAAGAGTTCAGCCAGTGGTGGAGATGGGTGGGTGGTACCGTAGGTATGACAGCAAGAGAGCCAGCTGACGCATGGGTTGTGTCAGACTTTCTAAAGTTTTATACATCAGAGTGGTGAAGTTCACTGTGCCCTGAATTTTGTGGCAGATGGCATGGTTTTGTTGTTGGTTTGGTTTGGTTTTTAAAGGGTTCTCACTAGAGGAATGGCTTAAGGTAGGTGTGTGTGTGTGTGTGTGTTTGTGTGTGTGTGTGTGTGTGTATCTTCTAATTCCTTCTTCTCTTGGGCCAATGGTCCTTGGACAACAGCCCAGGCCAAAGCTCAAGGTGGTCTGGCAGCTTCCTTGGGTGGGCAGTGTGTTATTATGACCTTAGGTTCTCTCCTCTCTGCCGGACTCTCTGGCATTTAATAACCAGGCAACTGTTTAACACGAACAAGGTTTTAGTGTGGCTGGTGCTAGGGTGTGTCTATTCAGCATCTCCTTACTACTCTGTGGGGTCCAACAGCTAACAGGAGGCTTGCTCTTCTCAGAGGCAGTTTTTCATAAGCAGGTGGAGGTTTCCATCCTACACAGGCCCAGCCATGACAGGTACCTTCTCTAAATATCTTCTGTCAATTGGACTTTGACTCCTTGGTCTTACCCCAGTGCTCAGGGTAGTTGAAGACACAGGCCTTGCTGGTGGCAACAACTCAAGAAATAGGGAGCCATGGAATAGCCTTTTAAAGCATGAACATCCAGCATAGCAAACTTCTGTGAGCAGACTTGGGATGCACAAGGAAAGCAATGAAGACTCCAGCAACTTTAGTTATCCAGAATTTTCTCTTTATCCCATCCTTCAATTAAAAAAAAAAAAAAGGAGAAAGTACTTTCTGAACAAAAACAAGGTGTGAATTAATCCTATCCTTTACACTTCAAAGCAGGGAAAAATGATTTTCAGACTTTTAAAAATAATATTTATGTCTGGGAGAGTCCCCCTACACTTATGTTCACACATATGCATATATGTGTGTCCATCTGGTGTGGTCACTTACCAGGCATTGCTAACCACAAGTCTATCTTCACTGTTACACCAAGTGACAGTCTTTGCCTCATATCTTCATAAGGACTCACAATGACTTTCCTAAATCTGAGTTGTGACATTGGAATAAATTGTCCAACATTAAGGGTGGAAGTGTTTGTAGGCATCCTACTTAAGCCCACCATTCTTTGTCTCACAGACCTGGTGGTGAGCCCTGGTGAGCCTCAGACAAGAGGCTCCTGAATTCCACGACAGACTGGGCAATGTAGTAAGACTAGAAAACCAAACCAGAGCAGACCAAAACTAGGTCAAACCAAACTGAAAAACAATTTGAAAATACCAGCTTGGGGGAGACAGATTCTCTGTTATCTTCCTGTATATGACACAGTCCATGTTATGGAGCCTAGAGGTGGCAAAGGCCACACTTCAGGCACTCTGATGTCCCCTCTAACAAGCTTCTGCCTGTGCCTCTCAGCTGGGTACCCTGCAAGCAAAAAAAGCTCTAGAGATTTCTTCCCCCAGGGAAACAAGTCCGACCTGACTTAACCTGCAGGACGCACACATCAGTATGTTTCTTCTCTCCCCAGCCCCCAAGTCCTGCCTTGACCCTCTGTTCTTCCCATTGGCCTCAATCCTAAACATTTGGGTGGGTGGGAGAGGCCGATCCAGAGAGAGGGACATGTCCTTCCCACTAGCCTCGTGTCCCCTCAGAAGCCAAAGCTGGCCTTAAAACTCTCTGGAATTCGTTTCTCTCTGCCAACCCAGGCCACATCTTTGGCTTCCCAACCTCTCCGTGTCATGAATTCTATCATAAAAACACAGCGTATCAGGTACACAGTCCCCCTGTAGAGAAGGTGCCAAGGTCTTTCTGTTCCCTCGGTCTTTCATCAAATGCTGGGAACAGGGGCCAAGCACAGAGCAAAATCTCGGGTGTTTTTTCTGCAGCCTCCAGGCCCCACAGGCCTGGCCTCAAGGTGTGAACTGCAAGCAGACACCAGCCTAGCCATGAAGGGGCTGTTCTTCTTCGAGGACCCTCTGTTCTGCCCTGCCCCTTGCAGTCAGTATGATCCCTTCCTCCCCTGACACCCTGCCCTTGGCAAGATTCATTTGTGTGTGACCTTGTGCTTCAGAGCCTCCCAAATAGCCACTTTGTGAAATGAGGGAAAAGAAGGATTGTTCTAGAAATCCCAGATAAAACTGTTCAGCCTAAAGCTTCAGCAAAGCAAGGAAATGGAATAGTATGGCAGTCTGACCTTCATTCTGTCCTTCCTGTCTTATTTGTATTCTCCCTCCCTCCCTCCCTCCCTCCCTCCCTCCCTCCTCTCTCTCTTTTTCTCTCTTCCCTCCCTTATATACACCCTTCCTTTCCACAAGCATTTATCAAGCCTTAGTAGCTAACCTTTTTTGATTATGGGCTGTGTACTAAGCTAAATATTCGGGATGTGGTTAATTCTAGTGTAAGTCAGCACTCTGGAAGGGTCGGACTTTTCCTTTTCAGGTGAGGACTCTCAGGAGGCTGTATCCCTGAGCCATGTTCCATAGCAGTAAGGACAGGGAGCTGAAGTGGCACCTGAGGTCCTCTCTGTGCCCACCAGTCTCTCTAACTGTACAACAGAAGGGGAAGAAGGAGCATTAACTTTTCTCTTAGTCATACCAAGAAAACCTGAGAGAGAAACTATAAACTTTGGAGGCAGAATCCCAAGGGATGTGTTTGATTTCTATCCCCCAAATTGACCACCATGCAGTGCCTTCTACCTGAGGCGCTCCTCCTCACACCATCTCTGTTCTTTTCCACTGGCAAACCTCTGCCGGGCTTTCAAGGCTATACTCTCATCTCTTGCCCCTGAAAGCCATCTCTTCCATCTCCTCCTCAGGGGCCATCTTCTCATGCTGTTACCATAAAAGGGCTGTGCCTGTGGGTTTACCTAGGAGTATGAGAACTCTGCCTTTCATGCTTCCAGAGACCTCACACCATTTTCTGAAATGGCTACACTATTTTATGTCCTCGAAAATAGAATTCAAGCAGCTCCTCTTCTCTACAAAAAATGTCAACACTCGTTTTCTTTTATTTTAAAAATTAATTTATAAGTTGTGGCACACGATTTTAATCCCAGCACTTGAGAGGTCAAGTCAGGTAGATCTCTGAGACTGAGGCCAACCTGGTCTACATAGCGAGTTCTAGGACAGCCAGGGCTAGGTAAAGAGACCCTATCTCAAAAAATTATATTTATTGGAGAGAAAAAATAGAATATGTGTACATGCATGATGTGTGTGTATGGCCACATGTATGCTCCTGCACTCCTATGCAGACCAGATTATAGCTTGAAGGTGTCTTCTTCCATGTGGGTCCCATGTACCAAACTCAGGTCACTGGGCTTGAGGAGCAAGTGCCTTGTCATGCTGAGCCACTGCCTGGCCCTGAGGTACCTTTAAAAGGCCCAAGGGTGTGTGAAGGAGCTCAGGGTCCCATTCCAGAGTGTACTTCCTATGTTCTGAGCCAGAGTATCCAGGTCTCATGTTTCTGGCTTTTTGCACAATTGTGCCATTCTTTGAGTGCCCGTTCTGGGCTCACATTTTAATTAATTAACTAATTAGTTAATTAATGTTAATCAATTTATATTAGTCAATACCAATTACATTTTATTCACTCATTAATTTTTATTAATTAATTGTGTAATTATCCACTTCAAGTCCCAGGATGAGTCTCCTTCTCCTCCCCAGTACTCCCTCATACAGATCCTCCCCCATTCTCCTCTCTCCTTCTCCTCTGAGAAGGGGGATTCCCCTCTAGGTATCCCTGCCCCCAGACAATCAAATCACAGCAGGACTAGACAAATCCTCTCCCACTGGGGCCAGAAGAGGCAGCTCAGTTAGGGGAATGAGATCCACAGGCAGGCAACAGATACAAGGAGTTGTTGAAGGACCCGCATGAAGACCAAGCTGCACTTCTGCTACATACGTGCAGGGGCCTAGGTTCAGCCCATTGTGCTTATATGTTTTACATGATGTTCTGCCTGTGACTTAACCTATCCATGTTATTCTGCAAAACAGGTATGATCAGCAATCTCCTTTTCCCTAAGAGGGAACTAAAGCTTCCAGGGATAAGCTGACCATCAGGAGGCCACACTCCTAGTGACTGAGCATGGCAGCTTGAAACCCATGATCTCCTTGCTGTCCTGAAGTTGGCAGGTCTGAGCTTTAACTGCAGCAGTGACAGGAAACATGGTAAACAAGATCTGTCAGCCTAGAAGAGTCCTCAGAAGGCTTGTCATAAATACTCTTAAGTAACAAAATTTCTCAGAGAGAAAAGAGATTGTGTATAGACTCTGATGGTGTCATGATTTCTTATCTTACTGATTTCTCTTTTCTCCTTTCGACACCCTTCCCTTCACCCTTTCCTCATGGACAATCTACTTTCCTGTTAAACACACTAGGTTACATGCAGGGCAACCCAAATCACTGCTATTAGCTTAATTGAGACAGGGTGATTATAAATAAACTGCATGCAATGCTAGTGAAATGGCTGTTATTAATCTAAACAGAGACAGAGTGACCAGTCAACACCAGTTACAGCTTAACTCAGAATGCAGCTCATGGGCATGGTCACCTGGCAAAGTAAATGACGGAAAGCCAAGGCCCCGAAAGGATAGGCTTCATGGTCACAAATCTAACCAGAGGTACCTACCCATTTAGCTGCAGTGCCAGAGATCTGAGTGCTGCAAACTCTTTGCAGGTGATAATTAATGTTTTCGAGATGCAGGACTGGAAAAGAGCATAGTAAAGAACCTTCCCAAATGATGAATCTCCATGACATACAATGCACGTCAGTTCATGTACTGAATCTCCTGCCACTATTTTCAAGTGATTTGAAAGAAAGCTAGAATATTATTTTCCTTACTCCCAATTAAAAAAAAACATACATACAGCAGAAAACTTCAAAACCGTACAAAGCACCGCTGGGTAGCCACTCTGTGCACCACGTCTATGGAATGTTTATTAGAGTTAGGCGTATTCCATCCATCCATTGTTCCTTATGTAGTTTCCTCAACACAGGGACTGCCTATTAGATACGTAATTTTGCATTGAGCCTTTATTTTCACAGGTGGAAAGATCCATAAAGCCTCCAGACAAGGCACATTAATGATGGGTTGTAGTTGAGTGAGGATGAGAATTAGGCATGAGCCTCCTCTTCCGGGAGGCAGTGTGAAACGGAAATCCTTCCATCAAAATGTGTTTTCTCTTCTGCCCCCACTTTCCCACTAGTTTCCAAATCTCAGCTTTCCAGTGTGGTTAGGCTTGGAAAACTTTAATGAAAACGTTGTAGTTAATCTTTATTTATTTATTTACACTTCAGGACCCTTCAGCAAACAGCCTAATAGGGCTTCACTGTCTACCTTTCTTATATCAAAACAGAACCAGACATTCTTCAGAGTTCCCAATGCTGTGAAAATTTTTTTCTTTTATATGTTGAGGGGCAAGAGACACACATGTACTATCATCTGTTAAGACCGGCTAGTCAGGATGACAATTGCTAAATTTAAGTTATATTATGAGTTCAAATATGAAGATATGGATAAATAAATGTTTATTGTTCAGTCTAGTAGAGATGTTCCCCCAATGGCGTGCAGGTGATGTTTGGACATTAAACTAGTTTTCCTCCTAGAATGCTCAAAGACACTCATATTTGATCAGCATAAATGGACCCTATGTTAATTACAAGTTTTTAGGTTTTTGGAGCATGGTGTGGTTGGTATACACTTATTTCCCAATATACATGAGGATAATCATAAGCCTGAGCTACAGAATAGGGCCCTGTCTCACATACTGACAGCAAACAAACAAACAGAAGCCCCACAATTCCCTATGTGTTTTATTTTAGTTTTACTTATGCATAGGTGTGTGTATTTGTGCCAGAGTACTTGACACATGTGTGTGAGTGCCCATGGAGCCCAGCAGAGGGTGTTGCCCTCTAACTCTGGAGCTGGAGTTACAAGTGGTTGTGAGCCACCTCGTGTGAGTGCTGGAAACCAAACCCGAATCCTCTGGAAGAGCAGCAAGAGATCTTAACCGCTGAGCCATCTCTCCAGTGTCCCTATTTGTAATTAATGATTTTAATCCAGCCAGTGTTTCAGAGAGATTAACAGACTGTACTTTGTAACAACCATGCCATAGAATCTTTAAACTGAAGAATATTTCTTATCATTCGGATGTGGATTTGGAATAAGTATATGATAATTTTATTTTTATTAATGTGGAGCATTCAGGGTTTTTTTTCATTATTATTTCTTAAAATACATCCTAGTAAATACCTAGAAATATCCCTATCCACATCTCTCCTACTGTCCCTCTCTACTTCCCTCTCTCCCTCTCCTTCCCTCTCCCTCCCGCGCTCCCGCCCTCCGCCCCCCCCCCCCTCCCGCCCTCCCTCCCTCTCTTCCTTCCATCCTTCCTCCCTCCCTTCTACCTTCTCTCCCTCTCTCCTTCCCTCTCTCCTTCCCTCTCTCCATCTCTCCCTCCTTCTAGCTTTCTCCGTTTCTTCTTTCTATGCCCCCATGCTCCAGCTTCTTAGGTAAAATTGCCTTACATAAATTACTTTCGTTTTTTATTTTTTTGAAAATGTTGGTTGGCCCTAATTTAAAAAACAAGCAAAACTTAACGAGCCAGTCAAGTAAAGAAAGTAACATCAACATTTGAAAGTCAGGGAACATTCTTCAACGCCATCTTTAAACACAGCCTGTGATACAAAGCCTTCATTTTCAAGTCATTCAGTCTATGGTTGGGAGGACTGGAGAGACAGAGAAATTGCAACTTGAAGAGATTTTTGGAAGGCCTTGTTGGGAAATGTTTGCAAGGAACAAAGAAGAGTAATATGGCGGTGGACCAGTCTCTCATCTCACCACAACTCAGACCACAGTGAACGTTTCTGTAAAATACTCTTCTTGTCTATTGGGACACTTCCCACGTATGATGAGCCCACTCCACCCTAAACACTCAGAGACACACTTGGCTGCCTTGCACTTGGAAATGTGCTGCTTGGCACGACTGAGAAGACTGCCTGCTAGTCAGCCTCAGAGAAGACACTGCCATCCCTTGGTCTGGGGTGGCTTGCTCAGTCAGTGGAGCGCCTGCCAGGTTAGAAAGATTCACAAATGCTGAAGGGTAGTAAAAAGACCTGGGGAACTGGGTGAGCCACAGCCGGGCCTCTCCTTTATGGATCTACCTCCTGGGGACTCTGTTGATTCTGGAAGAACACGTTTACTGATCAACCTGACAAGTTTATGCCAAAAGCTGCCACGGGTGGAGAGAGGTGGAGAATGACATTTTCCTAGCATTTTTGGGAGGCTGAGACAAGAGAACTGAGGTCTGTCCAGAAATACCCTATGTCAAGAGATTAGAATGTAAAACATAAAATTACCATAGTAGTAACCACATATCCATTTGTCTATCAGGGACTGAAGAGTGGCCTCCATACTAATTTCCATAGCAGTGATTATTTTAAAATGGAAGTTGTGGAGATAGCTGATTTAGAAAAGTACATATGTAAGGCTTGGTGACCCATATTCTGTCCCCAGCATCATGTAAAGAGCTAGGCATGATGTCACATGCTTTTTTTATAAAACAAGGTAGAACTTTCCTGAAGATTGACATCCAAGGTTGATATTTGAATTCATCATGTTCCCAACTTCCAACCCCCCAAATGTACATACAGATACATACATACAACACACACATACATACAAACACACATATATATATAAGTGTGGGGGAAAAAGCAGCAGCGGTGGAGGAGTCCGGGAGGCTTTCCACACCGGCTGGTCCCACATACAGGAGAAAGGTCTGGAGTTTCAAAGGCTGGAGGCTTTGGCAGTGGCAGGCCCCAATGACACGAGAAAGTCCTTGGTTCCAAAAGGGTTTATTGTCATGGCAGATGGTGGATGGATTTGGATGTACCCCCCTGAATCTCAGAGCAGACCTGAGTTAAATAGGGAGGGAGAAAAGGGGAGGTTCTGGGAAGAATGCTTAATTTGCTCCACCCTCTGGCCTTCATTAGCATGTAAATCTCTAGGGCCTGAGGCCTGTAGTCACTCTACCTGTGCACTTTGGGAGGGGTTGTAATGGCCTACGTGACTGAACAATGTAGGTCTATGGAGACAAGACTGCATGTCAGGACTCTGGGTTCTGGAGATCTGGGTTCTGGGGATGTGGCCGAACACCTGCCATTTCTCCCTTGGAGTCTCGGGGTTCCAGGCCCATGCCCAGCCATTAACCAAGATACCCTTACACAGTCCCACATATAAGCACATACATACATGCACACATTCATATATATATGTATATGTATACGTATACGTATATGTATATATATATGCACATACATACACACATATACACACATACATACATACATACATACACACATAGATAGAGACACACACACAGATGTGAGGAGGCATCACTAAACATAACACTTGCCAGAAATTGTGTGAATATTCTATGCCTTCATTGCAGGCATCTGACTTGGCTTGATCAACTTAGTTTAGACACTGGGAATAGAGTAGATGACATTTCTTAAACACCAGAGTATATGTGTAGATACTGAAATCTCAGAATGGAGAATATTTCCCCAAATTGAAGGCGTGGTAGAATGTGCTACTCCCTCCCTCTGTGTTTAACAGAGACCTTGTTTTAGAGCATCATCAAGGAGACACGTGTTGTCATAGCTCAAAAGCTACCACTCAGATCATTGCTGGAGGTGCCAGGGCTCTCCCTCTGCAGACTTGAGTCATCAAGTGTCTTCTCTCTCTTAGGGCTTTAAAGATCCTGTGTACCGGGCGAGACGAAAGCAGTTTGCTGACATTGCCTACAACTACCGCCAGTAAGTCTTCCTGTTGGACAATTGAGAGAAGAGCATACTCCCAACCTTCATTCTAGGTTGGAAACGATCGGCCTAGAACCTCCTGCTTTGTGTGTGTGTGCCCATGTCTGTGTATATGTGTGTATGTGTGTGTATGTGTATGCATGTGTGTATATGTGTTTGTGTTAGCATGTATGTATGTGTGTATATGTGTGCATGTGTATATATGCATGTGGATATGTGTATATATTTGTACATGTGTGTATATATATGTGTGTGTGTTTAATCTCTCTCCTTAATAACACATTTTGAATGTTGCCTCTAGATCAAACAAAACTACCCATTGTGATGCAGCCTAGGTCTCTCCTAAGCTTTGTTAGACAACTGTTTGTTGTGTCTGAAATGATTGGAAAGACTTCCATCATGAATGAAACAGGCTCTGGTCTTCTCTACAATAGTCCAGGAAGAAGAAAGCTGGCTGCTCCAGTGAAGTAACAAATCACCATAGCCTGTGGACCAGCTGCACTCCTGTGTTCTACTTATCTGGTTTGACCCAGTCCTGTAGGGCAATTGCCAGATGGGATGTATCCCCCCCCACCCCCTTTCAGAATTCTATAGTATTTTAGCCAAGAGAAAATGGCCATATCAAATGTGTTGTTTGGGAACATAATGGCTTTGCTGTTGTGAGTCCTCAGGGAATAATATGTAAATTAGGACTTGGGAAGCTTGGTGTTTTGGAGACAGCAGTTTCTGAGTTAAGGGAATAAATAAAAAGATAAACTCAAAAAAATTCTAGAGCTGTCCCAAGATGAAGGTATTAATTCTTTAACAGCATTGGTAGGACATCAACGGCATAAGGAAATGCTAGGGTGTGCTGAACACAAACCTACGTGTGGATGGAGAGACATCCAGAACATTACCTTCTCTGAAATATATACCTCTGTGTGTGTGTGTGTGTGTGTGTTTAGTGTTGTAATAAATCCTCATTTTTTTCAGATAAGAAAATTGAAGCTGAAAGAAGTTAAATATCTTTTCAAAGTCATTTACCTAGTAAGGGACAAGGGCAGGTTTTAATTTTATCTGTCCCCAGAACTACTATCAGTGTCCCCACTGTGTCTATTAACCCTGTGCCTGGGCAGGCACATGGGTCTCATGCCTCCTTTCTGGCCCAAGTTCTGAGGACTGTTCTTGTTTTCAGGCTCTGCCTCACCTGTCTCAGAGATAGGTTCCATGTGATGTCCCAGCTCAATTAGAAGAATTCTAAGCCTTTCTTACAAGGAGTGCTAAGGTTCTGTCACTGGGTCTAAGTTCTGAGGCATGGAACCATGTGTCAGCCGATCACTGTGGTCAGAATAAAGAAGCTCTGTGATTGTATAACCCTGACCACATTCCCATATGCAGAGGGAGTGTTAGGTGTCCTCTTTCTCAAACCCCACACACTGAAAGAGGTGGGAGGTGCTTTGCTTTAAGAAGGGGAAGAGACACTGGGTCACTGGGAGAGGAAGTGTGAACCAGGACAGTGTATGTTCAAAATGTCACTGCTTCTGGAAATTTGTAGCAGCAAAAGTACCAGTTGTCTTTCTTGGTTTTGTTTTTACATTAATTAATTAATTATTGGTGTGTGTGTGTGTGTGTGTGTGTGTGTGTGTGTGTCTGCTAGGACTCATGTGTGGAAGTGAGAGGACAACTTGTGTGAATCAGCTTTCTCTGCCACATGGGTTCTGGGCAGACTTGGTAGCAAGTACCCTTAACCACAGAGCTATGCCACTGGCACCATCAATCCCTTTCTTTGAAATGAGAACTAGTTATTTTAATGATCAGTGGTTACTGAAGTTCCAATATTGGGAATATAATTATGAATATATATGCATACATAAAGTAATATATACAGGTATATACCTACATATATTACTTTATGTATATAAACCTCCACACTAAGGATACTTGTCAAGTGCAGGACTAAAGGCTCGTAGAAGTTTACTAAATTACCTGAGATTACATCCAAAACCTTTTCCTTTTCTTCCTTCACTACTTAACCCTGGAGTATAGTACAGTCTTAGGCAAAAATTCGCCTGACACTGTTTTGCCAGGTAACCAGAAGATCCTCTGAACTTGGGACCTTCTCATTTCTCAGTCAGCAATCTTTCCTCCTCAATCCCTGCCCACCTTTCTGTAGAAAATAACAGTCTTTGCTCTAATGTCCTTGGATGAGGTTCAATTCTGAAAGTTCAGGAGGAGCCTAGTTTGGAACCAGATCTGCAGTTCCAAGGTAAACAGTCCCACTTTGTCCCAGACTCTGTTTCCCTAGTGAGAGGAGCAGGCCTGCAGCCCAGGGAACAATCCCTGGCTCAGGAGGTCAGGCTTTGTTTGGTTTTCATTGTTTTAGGACACAGCCTAGAAGTTTCCAGACTAATGACTCTTAAACTGCAGCTTGCATCAGTCACCTAGGGAACTTGTTAAGATCCACTTGTCCTTGACATTCTCTCCCCAGGGTACTCAGGACAGTGGGACAGGGGTCTCACGTAGATGCTTTGACAAACCTGTTACATATGAGCATATCTTATATCTTAGCATGGGCTTTCTCATTTTTGTTCCCTCATCCCAATATTTACAAGTGTTATACTTTTGGCCCAGAACTTTGTTAATTGACAAATCTCTGTACTTATGACATGCAGCATCTCTCTGTCTTTGTCTCTGTCTCTTTCTCTCTCTGTCTCTGTCTGTCTCTGTCTGTCTCTGTCTCTGTCTCTCTCTCTCACACACACACACACATACACACACACATCTTAAGATATATAGATTTATACATAGTGGAACCCTAGTCTAAATTTAAACAGCTTCATAATATTTCCCAGGGTCAGAAGCATCAAACTCAGCAGGTGCAAACTTCCCAAACAAGTTTTTAACAGACAGACAGACAGACACACACACACACACTTACACACACACACCTCTATTAAATCCAGGTCAGCCAGAGTTGATTGCTTTCATGAACATAATACAAGACATTATAGTATTTTCCCTGAACTTGAGTGTCTTTGCTTGGAAAGAAGATACATTGTCCAGTTGTCCCTGTTCCCACTCTTCACACTGCCCTGGACAGTCTGCTTTACACATGTGCCACCTGCCTAGCCCCTGAAAGTAAGTTTCTACCTTGAACAGTCTAGAGCAATGGTTCTTAACTTGTGGGCCATGACCCTTTGGGGATCAAATGATCTTTTCTAAAGGGTCACATATCAGATCTCCTACGTATCAGATATTTACATTATGATTCATAACAGTAGCCAATTTACAGTTATGATGTAGTAATGAAAATAATTTTATGTTTGGGGGTCACCACAACACGAGGAACTGTATCAAAAGTTTGTAGCCTTAAGAAAGTTGAGAGCCATTGGCTGAGGCTCTGAGAAGGGCAGTAAGGCCAAGTGACTTGCAAAAATGATAGCAAATCCTCAACCCAACCATGTTTCCATGTGGAAACCAACCCAGCAGTGTTTCCCATGAGGCTTTTGTCTTTCAAACTATGCTGGAAGCCCGGGCTGGTCACTGGCAGCACCTCACAAATTCTGGGGCTCTGACTCCCTGTGCTGACCTCACCACATTGTGCACCCTGACCCTTGCCTGCTGGAGACACCTCTTCCATGCCTGTATTCTAGTGGGCAGCCTATCCCTCGGGTGGAGTACACAGAGGAGGAGAAGAAGACCTGGGGAACAGTGTTCAGGACGCTGAAGGCCTTGTATAAAACACATGCCTGCTACGAGCACAACCACATTTTCCCACTCCTGGAAAAGTACTGCGGTTTCCGTGAAGACAACATTCCCCAGCTAGAAGACGTTTCTCAGTTTCTGCAGAGTAAGTCCACAACAGGGTCAAAGCCCGGCAGACAGTGAAGGGTGGGATGGGAGGAGCAGGGTAGGGGTAAATAGAGGATGTTGTGAGACTTGGTGGTGTGGTGCAGGATGAAGTCTCCCAGGTAGAACTCGGCTGCAGTGTCTCCTGCCTTCCCTCTCCCTTCTACCATTATCAATCTTCCATCCGTGCAAGAATGTCAGGTGTGATTTTTTTTTTTTTTTTACCATATAGCTGTCTCTGAAAGGACAAAGCCCAAGGTACCCTGTCTAGGGTTTACAATGCAGCTCACTGTCAGGAAATGGCTGCAATTTCAGTTCAAGGAAAAAAGTATGCTCTCTGTGGGCCCGTGCCAAGAGTCTCTTGCTCTGAGTCTATGCATCTGTGACAGATCCTGCCTTTGACCTTTTCTGCTTGTGTACAGCTGCCTTCATGTTGTCTCCTGCCTAATAGACACAGTCACCCTATTGGAATCCTTAATAGACTGAGATAGATATGGCCCATGAGAGTACCCAGCATAGAGCTGAGTCTGAAGTCAGTGCTCGGTGAGTTTGGGGGTTCGTAGTAATGTAGGATGCTCAGAGGAGAGTTATCTGAGTGATGAGCTTTGGTATAGCCTTTCCAGGGAAGAGTATGGTTTTCTTCCTGATGCTCATTCAGCTCATTCAGCAAAGCCCAAATAGTCGACTAATTCCTATTAAACACCTACTATATTGCTATCTGAATAAGGAGAGGTAGGGAGAGAGACCACAGTTCTACAGAAGGGAAGAATTTTCCTATACATCAGAACCATGAGTAGTTAGGAAATGAATTAGAAAACGACACAGCAGGGAGTGAGGTTAGAATGGGAACAGATTGGATGCAGTGATGATCTTTGAGGTCTCTTCCACCTTTTGGATAAAGCAAGGAGAAAAGGTTCAAACAGCAATTAACAGTGAATGTACAGTGATGGGGGAGAGAGAGAGAGAAAGAGAGAGAGAGAGAGAGAGAGAGAGAGAGAGAGAGAGATCCTAAAGATGGTCTGCAGCTTTAACCCTAATGCTGTGGCCAGTAGAAAGAATAATAAAACATCAATGTTAATAGTTCGGAAGTTATATAATTGTAATCAATAGGCTTTGAAGCCATGTGGCCTGTGGCTTGTGACCCTGGAGTGAAAGCTTTAACCCATACCTCGGCTTCCCCATCTTTAAAGTAGGGATGGTAAAATGGCTTCCTCACAGTTATTGCAAAGGTAAGCTTGTGCAAAATGCTTAGATCTGAGCCTGGCATATGTTAGGTAGTATGTAGTGTTAGCTATTGGCATTTGCAATGATACCGTTCTAGTTCCAGTGTAGAGTAGACCAAAAAACAGATATAGAAAGCAGAGAATGGTTATCAATTGGAATCTTTAAAGAAAAGCTATTTAGAGGGTGTCGTGTTGACATGTGCTCACAAACTTCCCAATACCTTAGTCCTTGATTAGGGAAACACCAGTTCTCAGTGCATCCCATACTGTAAAACTAAGAGAAATCAGCACACACTGTTTTGTGGATAGGATGGGGGGAGGGAGATGGAGAAAGAAAGAGAGCTATAGAAATGGAAAGAGAGAGGGAGGAAGGAAAGAAAAATTGGATGCAAATTTCCTCTTCTCCGTTGCTTCAGTCAGACAGGACATTTCTCCACCCAGGATGTGTGACATGGTAGAAAAGGTGGAAATGTTTATAGTATGCTCTGGTCCTGATGTTGATCATACATCTCCTTGCTACTGAAAGAACATGAGAAGTAGTGGGAAAGTATTTGGTCCTAATTAACACTAACCAAAGAGAAATTTACTTGGATGTCCGCATTGAACCAGTCTCTGCTACGTAACTTTTAGTCATTATTGTTTTGATGCTTACAACATCCCTCAGTAGGGCCAAGAGACATTTTGCTTGGAAGAAAACTGAGGCTCAACAATGTGAAATTACTTGACCCAAAGCAGCCAAGGAGGCAGAGACCAGAAACCAAGTCTCTCTTGGCAAAGCTCATGATCTTGGGCATTGGTTGTTTACGAGGGGGTTTGTAGCCTCTCTGGATTTACCATAAGGCTTACAATTCTCAACCTTCCTAATGCTACAACCCTGTAATACAGTTCTTCGTGTTGTGGCGATGCCCCAACCATAAAATTACTTTGTTTCTACTTCATAACTGCAATTTTGCTAGTATTATGAATCGTAACATTTGATTCATTCAATATGTAGGTTATCTAAGTTGCCACCCCTGTGGGGGTCATAACCCATAGGTTGCAAACCACTTATAATAAGCCTTGAGTTTTAGGTTCTTTTCTGCTTTCTAGCTTGTACTGGTTTCCGCCTCCGACCTGTTGCTGGATTACTGTCATCTCGAGATTTCTTGGGTGGCTTGGCCTTCCGAGTCTTCCACTGCACACAGTACATTAGGCATGGATCTAAGCCCATGTACACACCTGAACCGTAAGTATCATTCTGCAGCTACCAGTGCCAATCACAAGGGTACAAGCTCCACCTGCTCTAAGAATGCTGCTCGCGTTCATTGCAGGCTGGCCCCCATGATTTGTTGCCTGTTTTATGTGATCACAGTTCTAAGAGAAACTCATACTCTGTGGATTTTCTCTGTCCAAATAGATGAAATTTGGACGCACAGATTTGAACATGCTGTGAACCAAGGATTTGGAACTCCTTGAGTACCAGGAAAAGAGGTTCCATTAAGCTCCAAAGTCAGACCTCCTAAGTTCCAAATGGGACAGAAACAAGAGTATCCAAGTGATCTCAGCATCTCCTAAATGCACATCTGGATGATTTCAGCTCTTTGCCTAGATTATTGGCTAGGAGAGAATTGGTGGCCACTGTGCTTCCTCTTTGGGCCTTTGGCCATCTCATTAGTCACATAGAAATTGATCCAATAAGATCAGTATAAATCCCCTAATCATTTCCCCCTTCTCATGACGTCAATGGCTCCTAATTAGAAAGGACCTGTTGCTATGGACCTGGCATTGTTTTAGACAAATGTAACCTTTCTTTTTTGACTGCTGACCCACTATGGACCAAGAGAAGAGCAGTACTATTTTTTTTTTAAGTCCTTATTGGAAAAACTGGGCACATTATCCTTCTCCAGGTAAATTAGTGGCAAGAAGACTTGGAGAGGGAGGAGTCTGTAACCTACAACTCATTCAGGATTCTGAGAAGAGACCCATAGGAATTCTGGGTCCCAAGCTCTGCATATCAGCCCCTTCTGCCTCCCAGGACTCATACGGATTCTGCTTCTCCTTTCTTTTCTTCTTTTTCTTTCATCCCTTTCTTTCAAGGGATTCTTTGCTCTGCCTAGTGCTTATTCTTGAGACCAATGCCTCAGGTATCTATGAGTTATTTCTTCATAAAAAAAAATCATTGAGTCTAGCTTGGTTTAACTTGTCCTTCCTCTAAGCACTGTGCCTTCTGTGTTTTAGTGATATCTGCCATGAACTCTTGGGACATGTGCCTTTGTTTTCAGATCGCTGCTTTGCCCAATTTTCTCAGGTAAGGAACAAAGACTTAGTCATTGGGTTGGGATTGCATTACTGGAATGAATTAATCTCTCTCAAAGAGGATGTCACATGCTCTGTTAGAGCAGAAACTATATACAATTACACGAGCCTGATCCTACCTGAGAAAAATGGTAGGGAGATGGGTGTGTGGTTCAGTGGAACAGGTTAAACACTCATTCGAAGAACTGTAGCCTGGGGTTTTTGGTGGTTTCTCATCCTCTGACATGCCTCTGGTCAATTTGCTGATCTCAATGATCATAACAGGTGCACACTAAGAGCCTACTAACTGATGAAAGCATCTCTACTCTCTACAGACATCATTTCCTACTTTCCATCCAGTATGCTTTTTAGAGACCTTGGCACTTTGCATCTTGTCAGATAGTCATGTGCACATATACTTGAACTCCCTAAGATGACATTTACCAAGAATCTGATGTCAATGATCTTACGTATACTTGACTAAAGAAAGAAGGAAACAAAGAAAGAAAGATAAAAGAAAGAGCCAGATGTTCCACTGTCAAAACAGCATCATGGCTTTGATTAATTTTTCACAGTAATGAGAAAGCTCACGACTGTTTTCTGATGAGTTTAAAATTATGCTAATTCTCTCTTATCACTAAGAAGGAGTCTAAAACATGGTTTTGTGGGATGAGGTGTGTGGGGTGGGTCTAGGGAGATGACTCAGTAGTTAGAAGAGTATACTTCTCTTGCAGAGGACCAGTTTTTGTCTAAGCACTCATATCAGGTAATTAATAGCCATCTATATCTCTAGCTTCATTGGATCTGATGACTGTGGTCTCTACAGGCATCTGCACTTGTGTGAGCATACCCACACATAGACACAGCCGTATGGATGATAGGAAGGCTATAAAATATTTGAAAACACAGATGGGTAGCTGGGACCATGGAAGAGTAAATGATGTCTCTAAGGTACTCATAGGCCCAGTCCAGAACACTGACGGCCTGTAGCTGTGTGAACTAGGACAAGCTGTGAGGCTGTCCTGTGCCTCAGTTTCCACAGATTTGGATCAGTGACATGTCTTCCTTATTAGTCTTTTTCCTCACTATAAAAAACTATGATCCAAGGATGACTCACGAGTAAACATTGCTCCAAGTAGGAATTTCAAAGTAATGACCTTGTGTGCAAATTTACAAGCATTTCCCATTAGTTGTAAGAAGTTACTTCCACCATGGGACGATAAAGTTGCCCCTTGATATTTGAAACAAACCAAATAAAAAGTTCAATTGATTCCTTGACTTCTTAGAAGATGTATGTTCTCCAAACAAAAGCACCTGTTACTTCCATGTGACGTTTTGGGAAATACAGAGCCCAGAAACCATTGGACTAGAGACATGGGAGTGTCTGGTTGAACTTTAACTGTGGAAGTGTTATTGCCAATAGTGTAGTTAGAGCTGCCAAGATGGTGTTGATTGCTCAAGATGGTTTGAAAACAGGGACTTGTTACTGTGACAGGAGAATTAGATGCTTTCTCCTTGGAGAATAGAAATCTTGAATATTTGACTCCAGAGATATTCTGTCTAGCTGGAGGGCAGTTGGAAGTCTTGCTTAAATCATTTGCATTCTGGATAACCCTGGGGAGGTGTGGACAATTAATGTCAACAGACATTGTTGGATCTCTGTTTGACACATTCTCAACTTTGACATAGATGGTCCTAGGGCAAAGAGTTGTTTTATGAAAATGTTTTCTTTTGATTTACAGGCAGATGTATGTATGTATGTATGTATGTATGTATGTATGCATGCATGCATGTATGTATGTATGTATGTATGTATTTTTTACCAGAGTAGGACAGTATAGGATGATGATCAAGGGATGTTGGGGCCCTTGTTTTATTTAAGCTCTTGGCTTGCAAAGAACGATGACAAGATGTTAGGCATTGTGTCACACACCTGAAATTTAAGCACTTGGAAGATGTAGGCTGGAACATCAAGAATTAGAGCCCATCCTTGACTATATAGTCAGTTTTAGGCTAGCCTGGAATAAATGATACCGTATCTTAAAAAATGATGTCAAGAGAAAAGGTGAGGGATTTGACCTCAGTTTTATCAATGGATTCTGTTAAACTTGGGACTGATGTATCTATCTAATAAGGTGGGTAGAGTAGACATGGAGGAGAGATGAGGTAGTAGAACCAGACTAGGGGCTATGTGAATTTGGTTTACTTCAAATCAGACAGTACTTTTTATATGGATAGTGTAGGCCAAACTCCAGGTGGGACCCAGAGAGATATACAGTGACATAGAGTAGGTACCCTCTTGCTTCACTATGGACAAAATCCTTACTCTTTCTTTCTGTTCAGACACATTACTTTGGTTATCTTAGCCAACTTCATGGCTTTGAATACCATCTATAAGATAATAATGAACATTCATGTCTTGTTTTCAATGCCAATTTCAGGCTTACATATGAATCATCAAGTCAGCATCTCCACTTTGATATTTATTATACATTTCTACATTCCTGTCCAAAGCTGAATTTTCAGTCTTCTTCAAAACTGCTCTACCCTTAGGTTTCTTCGTATGTGCCCACGGTAACTCCATTCTTTGACTCATTCAAACTGAAAACACATCTGGGAGATACTATTGACTCCTTTCTCTGAAACAATCAAGTATTTCTGAAAATTGTATGTGTTCTATCTTCAAACTGTATAAAATCTGATTGTTTCTGATCACACCCATTAACACTTATATGATCTCAGCTGCTATCATTCATTATTGATTTTCTGTAGCTTCCTTGTTGCCATCTTGCCCTTGACCCCTACAGTCTATTCTTACAAAGTAGCTAGAGCAGTCTTTGATGACGTACACTAGATCTTGTCCACTACAGAATAATTTATATACATGCATGAAATTACCAAAGAAGAAAACTAATAAAAGTTATTAAAATCCTGAAATAGGTTTTTTGTTTCACAGAAAAGAAAAACCCAAGTCCTAAAATATCTTTTTTAAAAAGTCCACACAATTGCATTTAGAATCTTCCATGTTACCTACTAATACATTCACTTGCCCTGCTCTGCTCCTTGAAGTAGCCCACATTTCCCTTGCTTAGAGACATTTCTTACAGACTGTATGCTTACTGTTTGGTCTGAGTCTTGGACTAGATGATTAGAACAGAGTACTAGAGTTAGTTTAAGGTGAAGCAGAACAATTCAGGAGAGGCTAAGAGAGAAGCCAGATTGAATCAGTCAGCTTGACGAGGACTTTGAGCTAGAACAGCTGAATTGAACCAACAACCCTCCTTCCATCATCAGTAGAACCAATAGCATTCAAGTATTACCCCAAGTACTACCTTCTTGGTGATGCCTCCCAGGAAACCCAAATTAATAATGAAGCCTTCCCATTGAACTTGAAGTTCCCATTCCTTTTTGTCTCTTCCTCCTTGTGTTTCTTTTTCCCCAAAACCTTGACAAACTTTTACATATCTAAAAACACATTAACAATTGTGTATTTTTACTATAAGCCACAAGGTCAAGGCTATTTTCCAATTTTGTATATGTCCTGGCACATAGGAAGCAGTTAATGCACACTTTTGGAGTGGATGAATGTATATGTTTGGAAAGATACACACAGAAGGAAATAAGGGGAGCTATTGAAGAGACAAAAAGCCACTAGAGGAATTTTGTAGTTGAGGTTGTAGTTAATCAATGGTGGTTTATACACTCCAGCTATGTGTTGCTGCAGGATATTTGATCACACAGTGAACCTTGAGATTGTGTTGCTTACTGGAAAAACCTGTTTCTTGTTGTGATATGGCTCAGCTTTAGCACATATCTTTAGTTCCTCTGACTGGATACAGACATGCTCTTAGCACACACCTTTAATCCTGAACAACAAAGGTAAGGTTAGTTTGTAGAAGGAAGCACCCATGTTTGAAAGTGATATTTAACTAAGTGGCAGACAAAGTGATGAATCAGAGAAAGATTTGACAGAATAGGATATGCCCAACTCTCATGAGAAGAGAAAGGAAAGGGAAGATACTTAAAAGAGTAGTGCAGGGGGGGACAGGAGAAGGCAGTTTTACTGGGACAGTTGTACAATGACAAGTTGAAGAGATAAAGCTAGACATAAGAAGACATAATGACTCCGATAATGAGAAGGAGCCAAAAGATTAGAACATATTGCTAGAATTAGTTTGAGGACAAGCAGATCAATTCAGGAGAGGCTGAGAGACAAGCCACATTGAATCAGTCAGCCTGGAGAAAAGTTAGAGCCAGAACAGCTGAGTTGAACCAACCATCAAGAGATAAAAAACAAAACAAAACAAAAAACAGTGACCTTATTCAGCTGCAAGTCCTAGAGGATGAAGACACTCTAGACCTATATAAGATTGCATTGGAGTCTAGAAGCTTCCAAGATCAGGTCTAGGTTAGCACACAGAGGCGGTAAGCCTCAGAGATGATAATTGAGTCAGGTGAATAAAAGGTACTCTTGCAATATGTATTTCTGGAAAGATATGATCACTTCTCTGTAGTCTTTCTATGGTATTTTCAAGATATCTGATTAAGATTCATTTCATATCCCAGAAATTTCTGTCTCATGCTGTGTGTGTGTGACTCACTGGGCTGCTGTCAAGAGATGACATGTTAGATGCTAACTGTGTGACCTTGTGTAGGCTACCTTATTATTCCTTTCTGTAAAGAACAAAGAAACCAACTATTGGTGACACATTTTTTTCTCTGCTCTTGAGGTCTGTGCCTCTGCCTGGCTGGGACAGATGTCCAAGAAAACTCAGGGTCTATCTGGGCCCTTCAGAAGGTACTCAGTCATGCATGACCCTGCCACAATTGTGTGCCAAATTGGCACTGAGGGTAAAGTTTTAATATGGTTCATGTCAGTGACTCTGTTTCTTCACACACAGGAAATTGGGCTTGCATCGCTGGGGGCACCTGATGAGTACATTGAGAAACTGGCCACAGTAAGTCTTTCTTGTCCATGGGGGGCAGGATTATGGGTATGCTTATAGGCTTTGGTCTTCAGATCTTTAAAGTTTTATTCACTCCCTGGCAACTGGGCCATTTGAAATAATAAGAATGTGGCAAGGCACATTCACATGAATGAAATGTCATATTTTGGTTTTTCTTTAATGGGCTGAGTTTTACATCAGCTTGTATTTGAATATTCCCACATACTTATTAATAGAACATTTTTGGAAACACCATCCAGCTATAATTATAGTCCTGGAAATCCTTTGGCCCAAAGTGTGTCAGGCGCTGGTTGAATTTATAGTTCTGCTTGGAGAGTAGTTATCTCTATACCTCTGCACTAGAACCAGCCATAGGGATGTTCTCAGACAGGTGGTAAAAATAAGGCTGGGCTTCCCATTCTTGTCAAACATTTCCCACTTACAAGAGAAGAAGGGGCCATGCACTCATGGGAGTTATGGAAACACCAGATCTGCACCATTGGCAAATTCTTTCCTTCCATTTTCCAGTTTCAGTATATACCTCTCCAGGTATAGAACCATGTTGCTTATCATATGCCCAGCCTGGAAGATTAAAAAACAAACTTCATATTAAATTAAAAACTACCATGGATATAATATAAAGCTAGTATTAAGATATGTTCAGTTAGAAGTTGATATTTTCACTTCCTCAGAAAGGCTGGAAAATTCCAGGTTTTGGTTACTGAGCTCTTCTTTGAGATTCAGGGTAAGTGGCTTTTGGTTGTTTATCTCTAAAAATGGGCATTAAAGTTTGCTGTCCATCTCAAAAGTATTTCATGAAGTTCTAAAGAGTTAAATTTGTGTGAACATGAGACTTTATATTTTAGATATCTCAGAGGAGAAGTTTTCAAAGGGGTGGAGAAAAAGTGGATAGAATTTATTATTTATACAGAGTGAAATCTTAAAATTCAGAGAACCTCATCCTGTCCCTCACTGATAACAAAGGACCCACTATATTGCTACACTGGACTTGGAACAGACCCATGTCTCTTCTGTGCCTTCAATTTTGTGTGACACTGATACATATGTTGCCTTAACTTCCTGGACTAAAGACTTGCTGTGTATGATGAAGTCATATTGACTGGACTCTGATGACCTTCTTAGTCTTAATGTTTCTTAGTCTAACAAAGAGACTTTACTGTCAAGTCACCTCAAATTCTCCAAGATGGTGACCATTTCCAACATCTAATTGAGCCCTGGTCTTCTCTGGGCTCCAAAACTCCCAGACTATTAACCAGGCCAGGTATCAAAGACCTGTTGGAACAGAGGGTACTAAAGGAAGAGGGTGTGGTTATCTGGGAACACACATGTAGAGGTTGACTTCAGCAGCACCCTCCTCCATGTTTTTACATAGTAGATGAAGTTTGCCCCTCATTGACTCTCAGTATCCAATCCCTTAACCGTCCACTTCTTTGCCTGATACAATTACCAGATGAACTCTAATAATCTAAGAGCAACATAAAGATCAGTTTTTCTGCTTTATGACACAGAAAAGCAAAGGGCATAGAGAAGTTTCTGTCACACAAAGAGGAACTTGTTGGGGATGTCTTTATAGGATCTTAGTACACTTTTTTTTCTATCCCCCACCTCCTGCCTTTATGAGGATTGCCCACACCCACCCACCCACTCCCACTTCCCGGCCCTCGAATTCCCCTACACTGGGGCATCCAGCCTTCATAGGACCAAGAACTTTCTCTCCCACCCAACAAGGCCATCCTCCCCAATATATGCAGCTGGAGCCATGGGTCCCTCCCCATGTGCTCCCAGGCTGGTGGTTTAGACCCTTGGTATTGATGCTCTCCCCATGGGACTACAAACCCTTTCAGCTCTTTCAGTCTTCTCTCTAACTTAGACTTATCACACCATGACTCATCCACCATCGACTCCACAGGTGACTGGATAGGATGAGACACGGGACACTGAAGTGATGCCAGATCACACTGGTTCAGAGAACATATCTGCAAAACTCCTACCAACCAGATCTGTCTTGGTGCTTTGGGTATCTGCATGCCTTGCTCATCCCTGACAAGTGCCTTTTGCTTGCTTTCTGTTTCAGATTTACTGGTTTACTGTGGAGTTTGGGCTTTGCAAGGAAGGAGATTCTATAAAGGCATATGGTGCTGGGCTCCTGTCATCCTTTGGAGAATTACAGGTATGAGTCTAATAGAAACCAAGCACAGGTACTTAAAAATAAGGGGTATGGAGGATCACTCTCAGCCTCATGGTTTTGCCAAAGTGCTATTAGTAGATATTTGTGGGTGCACTTGCACAGGCAGTTGGTACCTTAGCAGCTATGGTTTGACCACATCTGTGTTGTTAGAGATAGAAATTCAAGTATGAGTTTACATGACTGGATAGAGAAGAGGCCTCCTGAGCCTAAGGCTGACTTAGGACTACAAGTTTGTAGGTATGGTCAGTTCTCACAGTGTCTATTGAACTTCTTATTAGGAAGGGTTTGAAATGAATTGTTACCTTCTAGTTAACTGTGGGTTTTAGATGAGCCACGAAGCATTCAATATAGTCTGTGCTAAATTTCTCAGTTTAGTGAATTTGTACTGATGTAGGAAAGTGGGGAGATGAGAAGAGCTTTGCAGGTGGATTATGGGATGCATGAGGGAACATGGATTTACCTGGAACTTTTCACTGCAGTACTGTTTATCAGACAAGCCAAAGCTCCTGCCCCTGGAGCTAGAGAAGACAGCCTGCCAGGAGTATACGGTCACAGAGTTCCAGCCCCTGTACTATGTGGCGGAGAGTTTCAATGATGCCAAGGAGAAAGTGAGGTGAGGTTACCAAAGAGGATCACTGGCTGTCTGGGTCTCCTGGATGAGGCTAGCAATGCTACCTGGATTCCTATGTCCACAGCATCTGTGCATAGCAGATAGACCCCCGCATCTCTGCTCTCCATACTCATCCTATCCCATTTTGTTGGGAGGCTGGACCTACTGACCTCATTTCCCTACCCTAATGCAAATTCAGAAAACCCTGTTATCTGTTCAACACAGACACAAAGTCCTCCTGTGTGCAGAGCAGCTACAAAAGTTCTCCACACCAAACCAGCCAGATGCCTTCAAATCTTGGAAAGTACCTTCTCCTCTTTATTCTCCCAGATATCAGCAGAGCTCACTTCATCACCTCTTCATATCTTCACCCAAACTCATCTTTGTCCAACCAAATACAATCATGCCTAAAAACAAGAGAGTTATTTCTGTGAAGTGGGCTATTTTGTGATTTCAACATTGTGTGAAATCACATACATAGCATATTACATACACGAGCATAGAAGATGATATCTACTACAGATATAGATTGTGTGACATATAAATTGGATGGCCTAAGGCCATGAAGAAGCAAATAAGATGAAATCACATAAGAGAAAATGACAGAAATGACATAATAAATTCAAGCTGTTAGAGACTATTGTGGATATAATATGGCATATTATTTTATCTTTATAAGCAGAAGGACACTAGAGTTAAAACATGGTTAAGTATATAATCCAGTAGCATAGGAACTTGTTAGCATTACTAAGTACTACCTATGCCTACTTAAAATCACGACACTTTCATAGAGCTGTTAATGCAATGGGTTGTTCACCCTCACATTGAAGTAAACACATGAGTTGTAACATGACATTGCATGCCTGTGTGTGATGCCTCTTGGAGATAATAATCTTGCAACTTTATCACAATCATATGGCATCATGCATGTACATCATCGGCAAAAATTTGATTATATGATATGTGTCTAGGAAATTCTCATCCTTCCACCTTCTGTGACTTATCTCTTATTCATAGTAAATATTGTCTTCTAATATATAATTTGGAAAAGCACCATACATAGAAGGTTTTTTGTTTGTTTGTTTGTTTGTTTGCTTGTTTTTGACTTCTTTTAATGTCTAGGGCTTTCTTTAGTCTCCTTAACAGTGCCTGGCACATAGTAAGCACTTGATGAAGGAATGGTCTCAGAGCAGTTCAGAGGAGACTGACAGCGGTACCTCAGACTCTGTGACTCTCAGTCCTCTCAATTGAGAACCTTGTCTATGAGCTATGCCCCCTTTGAGCTATGGAACTTCATCTAAGCAGGGGACAGTCTACTTGGAGTTCTTCCTGGGGAATGGGTGTCCTGATTCTGCTACCACTTTTAGAAAATCACCTGATTGATGGTGGATGGTGGACAGAGAGCATTTAGGTCTCTGCAATGTCAGCTTTTATGTACATGTCTTAAGAAATTAAAGTGCTGGCCCACAGGTCCATTTGGTGTTGCCTATGATGGCCTCCTTTCTCCTCTTGCTAAACTCCTGCTCTGTTTTAGATTTCTTTCTAACTTTGGAATTTCTCTTTCATCCTATCCCCAAGACTCCACTACATGAACTTCAATGAACCCTGTTGAGTCCGCTTAGTATTCTTATGTGTACATGTGTTTGGGGCTGACTATTTGGGATTGGATTGACTATCAGGAAACTTGTCCCTGGAGAGGACTGTTTCTCTCTCATGCACAGCAGCTATTAATTGAATGTAGTTTTTCTTTTTGCCTCTGTGAGCTGTCCCTCAGCAGAATGCAACAAAATGAGTATTCTCCTCTGGATCCTGGTACTGGTGGCACAGCGAGACTTTAAAGGTCTGACAGGCTATGTGCTGAGATTCTTTCTCCTGCTGTTGTGGATTGATCACTTGCTGCTAGTGACTTGTCTTAGACTTGGCTTAAGCAGTTAAGTCTTAGGGAATTTACATTTTGTCTATAGAAGAGTCTATCTTGAAAGCTCCTTTCAGAGAAGTGAGATGGGGAAGTAGACTTAACAAATCCATAAGTCCCTGGCCACTAATAAAGGGCAACAATTAACCATAGCTTATTCTGTGGTGTGACACTTGTCATGCCCTTCTGAGCTGAAGATTGTTACTACCCTCTTCTTACAGAAGAATAAGGGAATGAGTAACTGAGGTGAAGAATCATTTTCTATGATCATGAAGGCTATCACTGAGGAGGAATGAACACAAAAAGCCCAACTTGGGGACTTAGGATGCTGCTCTTGCCAAACCTGGGGCAACCTGCTATCTGTCCCAATAATTGTCATTTTCAATGTGGTAGAATTTGTTTTCATGATAGGAATAATATCTGTGGTGTCTTTGAAATGTCTTGTTAATTATATTAATACCATTCATAAAGATCCTCCTGGGAGGTACCCACAGAAGTCATGCCCAGGGAAAGCAAGAAAACACCCTGATCAGAAGCAGACTGCCAGGGTTAGTGGCATTATTTAATTCTTAGGGCTTTTGTAAATGATAATGTAAGAATGATATTTTTAAAGGGTTATTAGAATTTACTGTGGTCCTCAGTTCATATCAGATACCTAATTCATGCTACACTCCTTGCCACTACATTTCATTCAATTGTCTGGGGCTGTGTTTCTGTTTGCATTGATTGTCAAGTACCTTAGATTTCTTTTTAAAATAGTATTCTTTGCCTAAGTTTCATTTACACTTTTATCTTACATAACATGTGTTTGTGGTTTCATTATATTGTGTGTCTTTTCACATTCACACAAACAAAGGCTTCCCCATAGGACCTCATTCAATTGTATCTTACATCTTAGCCCAGCATCTGAGCTTCTGTTCTAGGAAGCTTCAGGGCTCAAAGCAAGGTAAAAGCCACTTGGAACTCCTTCAGGATAACTTATCTCTAAATGGTCCTTCATCTGGGGCCCTTGGTTTTGGTTTCAGGACTTTTGCTGCCACAATCCCTCGGCCCTTCTCGGTTCGCTATGACCCCTACACTCAAAGGGTTGAAGTCCTGGACAATACTCAGCAGTTGAAGATTTTAGCTGACTCCATTAATAGTAAGTAGATTACACCTGCTGGAACTACCTTCTCTCCCAGAAATAGAGGCTGTTTCTCCTTACATTTCCTATAGGGTCAAAAATGAATCTTTTAAATGTTGAATTAAGGAGAAAACATCTCCACATATGCCATTGGTCAGGGAAAAGAACTATGCAAATTGCCTCACATGCCGCTTTCCTTTGACCTTTGACATCCCATCCTATCTCTATAGCCTAATTCTCTAGGGCCATTGAAATAACCCTCTAGAAACATGAATCAGCTTCTGGTCACTATGCTCTCTCCTGGCTTTTGCCTTCATCCTTTCTGTTTAAGATAGTCCTCTTTCATGCCTATGTGAGATGTCCAAAGCCAGTTTATCTCATATGTCTAGACTAGATCTCTCAGTCTCTCTCTCTCTCTCTCTCTCTCTCTCTCTCTCTCTCTCTCTCTCTCTCTCTCTCTCTCGCTCTCTCGCTCTCTCGCTCTCTCGCTCTCTCTCTCTCTCGCTCTCTCGCTCTCTCGCTCTCTCGCTCTCTCGCTCTCGCTCTCTCTCTCTCTTCTCTCTTAAACTGGGTCTAAGTGTCTAACAATATAGCCTAAGCTTTCTGTTTACACTTTAGTGTATAACAGACCCACTTGAAGAGTCATGGCAACTCTTATAAAGGAAACCATTTAATTGAGATTTGCTTACAGTTTCAGAGGCTTGGTCCATTATCGGTAAGGCAGGAAGCATGGTGGCAGGCAAGCAGACATGGTGCTGGAAAGGTAGCTGAGAGTTGTATATCTGAATAGGCAGGCAGCAGGAAGAACGAGAGTCACACAAGCTTGGGCTTCTGAAACTCCAAATCCCACCTCCAGTCATACTCTTCCCCCAACAAGGCCACATCCACTCCAACAAGGCCATACCTCTTAATCTTTCTTGAGTAGCTCTACTCCCTAATGACCATACATCCAAATATTTGAGCCTTTAGGGGCCATTCCTCTTGAAATCATCACAAGAATTGAAAAAAACCATAACTCTGAGTTATAGTCCCAAAATAAATTTGGTAAATTTGTGTAGATGCTTGGGACCTCAGATGATCTAACATGGGAGACTTAAGTAAATCCCACGTAAACAAACTCCACTCCTTTAGGTTTAACAGTTCAGCATCTTGAAGTTTTTATGGATACGTATGTCCAAAAGAGCTAGGGATTTGTTTGGAAAACTTGTTGCTTAGGACCCTCTCCCCGCCCCCGGAGCTCCAGGAAATAGCTTGTGAAAGGAGGAAGTAAAGTATTCAGCCGATCCCAGGTCTCATTACACATACCAGAACTGGGCTACTGTAATCTCCATAGCTAAGCTGTAAGCATCATGAAGTTTAGGTTGATACGTCGATCCTATCGGGCTTTGCATTTATTAACAAGTGGCTCACCATTTTGCTGTTCTTCTTTGTAGGTGAGGTTGGAATCCTTTGCAATGCCCTCCAGAAAATAAAGTCATGAACAGAAAATGACATGATGGGCAGAACTCAGGAGGTCAAACAAAAATCTGCTGATAAAACTATAGTAACTGCTTCTTTCCCCCGAAACAAAAAAAAAGTTTTATTTGAAATGTCAGCTTGTATTGTTTTTGCTAACACAGTGGAACATCACCAAATAAATCAAAATTCTCTGAAATGGAAGTATATTAAAACCCTCCAGTGGTAGATCTTTCAGAGTCACATTTGATTTCGCTATCTCATACCTTCAATGTGGTTTAAAATGTATTTTCTCAGCTCTCATCCACATTCATCAAATGTTGGGTTCATATCCTTTGGGCGCCGTCTGTTCATTTTTAACCTCTCAGGTAAGCTCTGACAGAATGCATAAGGCTGAGTGTAAAATGTAAGGCTATCATTAGGAGTGAATCATTCCGCTCAGTACAGATTGTAACCTACAAAGCTTAGTTTCTACATTCTTTCATTATGGCTTTGAGAACTGCTTTGTTATCCTGCTCATGTAAATCTCCTCTGATCTAAGGCCCTATTAAGATAGTTATAAGCAATAAAGTTTTAAAGCATTATATAAAACATTCTGTGTGCTTTATTATATGTGCTGCAAAGTGTTGGGAGATATAGACCTGCCCACCTGATCCCACAACTTCTGACACCATTTTAATGGTATTTTTCAAATATGTTTGAGCGATATTTGGATACTTGTGATTCAGCAGACATTAGTCAAAGATACAGTAGCTATCTGGGAAACTAGTTGGATACATTTTAAAATAGTAAATTCATTAGAAAAGTGAGAGTTTTATCTGTGTTGGAGAAAAATATTAATAATATTAACATCACAAAATTTAAAGTTTCAAATGCTTGCATGAATGAAATATTTCTCTCACTGCTTTAGAAATCTATTAGCTGGAAGACCTTGGAACAAAGTAGATGTTTGGGGGCCCAGTCCACGGCATGAATCATTGTGATAATTGAAGTTAGTTGTGGAGGGTCAACAGATTCTGATTTTTGTTGGTTATGAATTTTATGAGTGTAAATACTGCTTTTATTTCCCCAGATGAGAAAGCCATACTCAACCTGTGTGAATGCATGGCTTGGGCTGAGTCCAGAACATGTCCTTCTTTAATTAACTATTTCTAGTTCTAGGCCTGGAAGTTTCTAACCTCTATACAATCTAGTCTTCCAAGCTGACTGATTAAGTTGGCTTCTCTTGGCTTCTGAATGAATTACTCTGTCTGGTCTCATATTAACTTTGGCAATATGTTCCAATTTTCTGGCTCCTTCTGTCTTCACCTGTGTCTAGTCTGTTTTCTCTACAATCTGTCTCTGTAAAACTGTTCTGGTCAAACTGCCATATACACACACCTCACACACCCCATTGCTCTCTCTTCTTGCTCTTAAATTGCCTCTCTTTCCTCTGTTATTCTCATGTGAGTTGGGCCTATCCTATCTCTGACTCATTCTGCCAAATCTCTTTCTGATTCATCATTTTGTCTGGCCCTCAATTAGATGTCTCATTCAAACATGGCTGCTTCCTTCTACAAACTAACCTTACCTTCATAGTTTGAAATTAAAGGTACTAAGGGTGTGTCTGTATTTCAGACAGATCATAGTGTAATCCAGGGTGTGTATGCATTCTGGCTTGATCATTTTTTGGATGTGATCCCTTGCCAGGGCAGCTATGGTAGTGGACTAAAATTCCTCTACATGAATTTATGTAACATGTAACATATGAGATGCAAAGAGGAGATGTCAGGATCTTTAATGGTGTGATTTAAAAATTGCTTGTTAAAGTAGTTAAGTCTTAGGGAATTTACATGATTCTTCTTCAAGTATATTGCTAAGAGCAGTTGTAGTATCAACAACAAACCTGGACACTCTTCTATCTCTTCCCATTTACAGTTACTGGGCAAGATGCTCAGAAAGCCACATTTTAAGACACCCCAAGTTATTCTTTCTTTTATGTTCACTTATTTATTTATTTGGGATCTATGTGCATGAGTAATATATGCATACATCTGTGTGTTTATATGTGAGCAATATATGCATATACAGATGTGTTTGCCTGTGCTTATTCATTTGAAGGACAAAGATCAATCTTAGGCTTAGGTTTCTCCTCCTAATATTGCTTACCTTAATTTTGAAGGCATGATCTCTCACTGAACCTTGAGCTCATTGATTGTCTATAATGGGCAGCCAATTAGATCATGGTCCTCTGGTCTCCACTCTTCAGTGCTGGGATTACAAGTGGATGCAGACTCACTTGCTGGCTGCTAGAGATCTGAACTAAGGTTCTTATGCTTACATGTCAAGAACTTTGCCTACCATGCTATCTCTACCTTTCTACTCTCTATTGCTAATACAGCAAGAACTGTACTTACCACACTAACTCTCTACCCTGTATCACAAATTGTAAATTACTAAGAAGAAAGACAAATGGAGAGATATACTATGTTCATGGATTAGAAGAAATGATATTGTTAAGTCCATCTAAGGATGTTTTCCCCCTCCATAGTCAAGAGTATATGGGAAGCACAAATGGACTTTGTGGGGTGTTGAAGTTGGGAAGTGTGGGGTCAAGGGACTGGATCAGGAAGAAGTCCTGGAGAGGAGAGTGGGGTGAATATGATTAAAATACATTGCATGAAATCTAAAAAAATTAATTTAAAGTATCCATCTAATCTAAAGCAATTAACAGATATAATGTAATACCTGCCAAAATTCCACTGATCTTTTAACAAAAATTGAAATATATATCCTAAAATTTATAAGACCTCTCAAAGATCTTTATTAGCTAAGGAAATCTTGAGCAAAAGGAATAAAGTTTGAGATACTATGCTACTTGATCTCATAATGTCCTATAAATCTTAATGATCAAAATATCATGGAACTGTCGTGTGAAAAAGACATATAGAGAAATAACAGAATAGGAATCTCAGCAATAAATCTATGGTCAATAAATAAATAAATAAATAAAGCAATAAATAAATTTATGGTCAATTGAAATTTGACAAATGTGTCACAGATACACCAAGGAGAAGAGACAAATTTTAAATTTTGTATTTTAAATGTTGTAAAAGATAAATATACATATACAGAAGAATACAGTTGGGATTTTATCTCATATCATATATGAAAATCAGTTCAAAATGCATTAAAGAAACACAGCAAGACAACCAAGAGTGAAAAGGCAACCTGTGGAATAAAAATATTATCTATCTATCTATCTATCTATCTATCAAAAATATATAAAAAGCTCAAATAAAAGGCAAGAAAAACATCTGATTGCAAAATATGTAAAGAACCAAATTCTGCAACTCCAAACTCCTCTCAGAGGTTGCCCCAAGGAGGGACTGATCATGGCTTTAAATACCCACTTGGCAATTCTGGCCAGGACCAAGGACAGCTCCCACTTCCTGTCCTTGAATTGTGTATGGATCAGCCTCCAGTCTAACCATTGGAATAAGTATTACGTTGAGAACTGTCTTTCACTAGTTACAGAACTGTCTACCCACCCCTATGTGTTCTTGACTGCTGGAGTTCAGCCTTGAGCTAGGAGGCCCACAAAGTTCCAGAACCAAAGAACTGAAGAAGGAATTCCCTGAAAAGAATAATGTTTGCAGCAGGCTGGAGCTCAGTGTCCATGTCCTCATATGACAAGTGACAATTTACTAGGACACCTAACAGAGAAAGAAGCAGATAGAGGGTTAGAGATATTAGGGCCTAAGTCACACTGCTCTTTCTTTAGTGGGTGATGTTGGCGATGAAATGACTTGTTGAAAAGAGGCCAGGCCTGCTTCCTTTGTGGTTTTATTCATATCCTAGAATGGAAAAGATGAAAGAGAGACATATCAGTGTCCTCCATACAGTACATATATGGATAGGGATGCATTAGATAGATAGATAGATAGATAGATAGATAGATAGATAGATAGATAGATAGGCAGGTAGACAGACAGACGAAGTTAGTTTATATGTTACTGTCTATGTGGTTGCATGTATATGTGCTTGCTCACATGGAGGCAGGAAGTCAATGTTGAGTGTTTTTTTTCAATTGATCTCCACCTCATTTTCCAAGACAGAGTCTCTCACTGAACCTGGAGCTCCCTGACCAGGCGAATATGACTGGCTAAGGATGGAGCTGAGATTGTTAGTCAGAATTGACAGTGCCTCTCACCTTCTCCCTCTTCCTCACCCATCTTCCTGTCCTTCCCCAAGACCTTCTTATATGCTCTTATATGGATCTTTCTCTTTAACATTGCTCTTCTCAATATCTGTATTTCAGCCACCATCGAAAGGTCTTAACACTCTTCGACTCCCTTTTTTTTTCTTTTAAAATCAATATTCTTATGCAGTCTTTGAAAATCTCATGTGTTTATGAAATGCATTTTGGTCATAGCCACTGCCTTCCTCTGACTCCCTCTTGTGCTCTCAACCCTCGCAACTTTCTAACATTGTGTCTTCCATTTTACTGTTATTAATAATGCCATTAGTGCTACCCACATGTGCATAGGTATGGAACCATCTATCGGAGCATGGACAATCTACCCAGTAGCCACATCACCAAAGGTGAGTGACTATCCCTCCCTCAGCAACCATCAATCATCAACAACTCATCACTAGAGGTGATGCCTCACGGGCTCTGTCCCCATCCATGCTGGAGTTTTGACTGGCTCGATCTTGTTCAGGTCTTGTGCAGATACCCACCGTAGTTGCTATGAGTTGATGTGTACAACAGCCATGTCATGTCACTCAGAAGCCAACATTTCACAGCTATCCTCCTGCTCTTGTTAGCTTTGAATGACAACTTGAGACAACCTAGCATCACCTGGGAAGAGGAAACCTCAGGTGAAGAATGGAGTCCGTCAGAATGACCTGTGGACGTCTGTGGGACATCGTCTTTATTGATAGTTGATGGAGGATGGTCCAGCCTTAGGCAGGTAGACCTGGGTTGTATTAAAAGGTAGCCAAGCAAGCTAGAGAGCAACATTACTCTCCTGGTTCTGCTGTGAGTCCCTGCTTAAGTTTCTGCACTGGATGCTCTGAATGATTAGACATGTAAGCTGGAATAGACTCTGTCCTTCCCAAGTTCCTTTTGGTCAGAATGTTTTATCAGAGGAACAGAATCAAAGGACAGCACAGCCCCCGTCACTGGCTCTTACACTCTTTCCTCACTCTCTTTTGCTATATTCCTGAGCTTCGAATAGGGAAGAGGTTGATGCAGATGACCCTCCACAGCTGAGCAGTCACATTACCTTACAATCAGCACTTGACGGGTTATAAGTCTCTCCATCAAACCCCCACCCACTGCAAAAACAAGCTTGTGTGTTATATTAGTAAGTATCTTAAAACAAGCCAAGAATCTATCAGGAAGAGGTTGGTTAGATACAGTCTATGTAGTGGGATATGGCACATATAAATTCTAACTAAGAAAGTCTAGTATATATTGTAAAATGAAGAAAAGACCACATTTTCAGTTTTTAGAAGATGGTAACATCTTAGAAGGATAGCTCATAGAAGAAATAGTGTGGCAATTAGGAATGTCAACAGTGGTCACCACTGTGGCTGGGACCCAA